CAGGGAATCATCAAGCCGGCCAGAGACGAACCTTCACCTTGGTGCCACCCTCTGGTCCCAGTCGACAAACCTCTTGGTGGAGTACGGATCACCACCGATCTATCAAAACTTAACCAGCAAGTTTCCCGTCCAGCCCACCCTTCGCCCACACCCTTCGCAGCTGTTCGAAATGTGGACCCGAAGGCGAAGTTTTTTACAACGATGGACGCCTTATGTGGTTATTGGCAGATCGAGTTGGCTGAAGAAGACCAGCATTTGACTACATTCATCACACCATATGGAAGATATCAGTACTGCAGAGGCCCCATGGGATATGCCGCTACGGGCGATGCATTCTGTCAACGTGGTGACGCGGCCCTTCAAGGAGTTACGAATTGTGTCAAGGTGGTTGATGATATTTTACTCCATGACGAAGACTACTGTGCCCACCTCTCCCGAATATATGAAGTTCTCACCAGATGTCGAAAGTACGGGATTACCCTCAACGCTGACAAGTTTGTAGTCGCCGCACCATCAGTGAACTTCTGTGGGTACACTCTCTCAGCATCAGGTATCGCAGCTGACCCGGAGAAATTAAGTGGAATCAGGGATTTTCCAACTCCTGCGAACCTGACAGACCTCCGTTCTTTTTTGGGTCTGGTCAATCAGCTGGCTGAATTCTCACCTGACATCTCCACCACAGCCCAGCCGTTACGCCCCCTTCTGAGCCCCAGGAGGACATTCCTGTGGACCCCAAATCATCAAGAGGCCTTCCAGCGAATCAAGCAGGCCCTCTTAAGTCCACCTGTCCTCGCCTGTTACGACCCAGCCCTACTCACCGTTCTCCAGACTGACGCCTCCAGACTCTACGGCGTTGGTTACGCCCTTCTGCAGGACCATGGCGATGGACAACTCCGCTTAATTCAGTGTGGATCCCGGTTCCTGACGGACGCCGAGACCCGATATGCCACGATTGAGCTGGAGATGTTGGCTGTTGTCTGGGCGATGGCGAAGTGCCGCTTCTACCTGATAGGACTTCAGCACTTCACCCTCTTCACGGATCATCGCCCTCTTCTACCTATTATCAATCACTACTCTTTGGATGCAGTATAGAATCCTCGCCTTCAACATTTGAAAGAGAAGCTCCCGCCTTATCTCTTCACGGCTGTGTGGCGTGCGGGTAAGCTGCTGTGCATCCCGGATGCTCTGTCCCGCGCCCCTGTCAGTCGCCCCACCTCAGAGGACGAGATGTTGTGTTCTACAGCTGCCGCATCCCTCAAGTCAGTAGTTTCATTGAAGGCCGTCTTCACATCAGAAGAGTCTACAGCACCGGATGCAGACAAGACCCTTGAAGATCTCCGCACCGCAGCCCGGGCCAACCCTTCCTACATCCGGCTCGTCGACTGTGTGTCCCAGGGATTTCCATCTAACCGATACGACCTTCATGAATCGTTACTCCCGTACTGGAAGATACGCGAGGACCTCTATTGTGACGGAGACCTCGTCTTGTATGGTCCACGAGTAGTCATTCCTACTGCCCTACGCCGCCGTACCTTGACCCGCCTTCACGACAGCCATCGAGGAGTGGAGGCCACCAAGCGTTGGGCGAAACAGACTGTATTTTGGCCCGGAATCGACACGGACATTGCAAGTACCGTCCGTGCCTGTGAGCCGTGCCAGATTCTGCAACCCAGCCAGCAACAGGAACCTTTAATGTGCGACGATAACCCTTCAAGACCCCTCGAGTCTGTGTCGGCCGACTTCTTTGCAGTGGCAGGGAAGTCCTTCCTCGTCATTGCCGACCGATTGTTCTGGATGGCCTGTTGTCGTCCCCTGTGGTAGTGATACAACGGCTACTGCTACCATCCGGAATTTCAGACATTACTTCAGAGAAGTTGGTGTTCCTCTCCGTCTCAGGACTGATGGAGGACCCCAGTTCACCAGCCACGAGTTCTGGGACTTCATGGACCGTTGGGGAGTCCGTCATGTCGTGACCTCGCCCCACTACCCTCAGGCGAATGGACACGCTGAAGCCGCAGTCAAGACTGTTAAACACCTGATCCTTAAGGTGTCACCCTCAGGAAATATCGACTGCGAGGACTTCGATCGAGGTTCGTTAGAGTTACGCAACACCCCGACCTTCACCGGACGCTCCCCAGCCCAGGTTCTATATGGACATCATCTCAGGTCTTGTGTTCCTGCCCACCCGAAGTCTTTTTCTCAAGAATGGCAAGCCAAGACTGAAGAATGTGACCGCCGTGCAGCAGAACGAGCCGCAGATGTCGCTGCTCGGTACGACTGTCATGCCCGCCCCCTTCCCAGGTTGAGTGTCGGCCAGCAGGTCAGGATTCAAGATCTGGTATCTCACCGCTGGGACATGGTTGGGGTTGTCATGGGTATTGGCCGGTCCAGGGACTACCAAGTGCGTCTTCCTAGTGGTAGAGTATGGTGGAGGAACCGTCGTTTCCTCCGACCTGTGGAGCTGCCTAGTGTTGACCCTTCCCCAGTAGAGTCCCCTAATGTTGATGTCTTTATAGTAAATCCATCCCCATCCTTGTGTTTCTGCCCCGGTACTCCGCAGGTCCGAGCGACTCAGAAACAAAAGGTCCGCTCAAGATGAAACTATGAGCGTATAGGGGGAGGGAGGTGTATAATATGGACACGAAGTAGTACCTTAAGCTGTGTATTCTTATATTACTCTATTAATTATGTATAGTAAAGTATTACAGAACATGTATTAATCCTATGTAATATTTCCATTTATTATGCACCATGTTATGTATATGTATTATCATATTTACATATTATGTATTCAGCTTGTGAATGCTGGCATCTGTGCATACCAGCGCGGAGTGATACATGGAGTGGAGATCGCTAGTCCTTATGGCGTGGAAGTCACTGTCTATTTTTTCCTCTGTATTTGTCGCCCGTACGAGAATAAGAGCCTATTTTCAAGATAACAAGTGTTTGCGTATACCCTCAGTAGTGTAGAACATTTTGGGGGTATCAAAGACAGACAGAATACTTACTTTATTCGAATTACTTGGCACATAATTACTTCACTATGTTAAAACATGAACACTGATATTCACAAAATCGACTAAGTTAAACTGACTTAACATGGTGGCGGGAAACAATCGCTTACATACCTGGAAATGCATTGAGGAAGAGTCACTAGCATGTGATTCTTCCTTGTGCATCCGTATATACGTGAGCCTGGGGCAGTTCCGGCCCATGCATACATACCAGAAGGGCTAATCTCACCAACAACAGAAAATATATGCACCTCGGTCGCTGGACACTCAACTATGAAAATCAGTGTCACGGGTCAGGCTAATTTTCCACGTCTATCCCTATAATCTAATCAGAGATTGAGCCTGTCAGGAAAAAGTGAAATGGACGTTAAACACGCACTAACAACTCTACTTACCGGAAACCACAAACCACAGCCAAGGAATTCGTCCTGAGAAGAGCCGTTAGGTCTTGGAGATTTTGAGTTTGACAGACTCTTTTCAGTAGATTAATGACTTTCTAAAATAGACAACTGACACTAACTAAACTACAAACATCCGATTTTCTGATGTTTGGGCATCAAAATAATCTAACTTCAGTCGCACTTGGAACTCATGGCTATCCCTAAGGACGATATAAGGATATGCCACTCATACTGACAAACTCGACACTCACTTACTTGACAAGTTTTACCAACAATAAGGACAGTTGAAGCTTTCAACATCACTCACAATGGATTTGTAATGTTCCAACTGTAATAAGAAATATCGAAGTTGCCTCAACATATGCAACCACACTTGCAATTTCAAATTCTGTCATTATATTATGGAATAACGAAGTCTCGGGTGCATTCTAATATTGAGAGAAAACGAACTTCTCAGACGGGGGACTCAAATAAAGAATGCATATCGACAAGTTTTGTGGACTATTGAGCGTAATATGAATCGTCTGATTTTACGTGAACTGATGTGTACGACCGTGGTCATTGTACCTGCACTTCGGCACCTCAGCTACCCTGAGAGATTGGAGCTCCTGAACTAGCCTAGCTTATACTACAACGGGCAAGGGGTGACCTAGTTGAGGTGTATTAGCATTTCAAGGGGCACTATTCAGTCGAGTGTCCTTACTTGGAACTGGCGGACGCTCGCCCCACAAGGGGTCACAGCTCAAGATTGAAGAAGCCGCAAGTCCAGAAAACTATGAGGGCAAACTTTTTCGAAGTGAGAGTCGTGAACTCCCGGAACAATTTACCAGAAAGAGTTGTGACGGCACCGAGTGTGAGCTCTTTCAAGACAAGACCTGACCAACACTGGAGCAGGTTCAGGTACATTCAGGAGCCGTTGCATTCCCAGTACTTGCCAACAGTGCGTAACGGAGACGCGACCGATCGCCCAAGCGGCTAACGAGCCGATCATTTGGTGAAGAGGATAAAAGAAAAGGAAAAGTAACAGAGACGTGACCGATTGCCCAAGCGGCTAACGAGCCGATTGGTGGTCAAGAGGATACAAATAAAGTAAAAGAAGAGGATAAAAAATAAAACATAATCTCATTTTGTTATGTTATTTTCTTTCATATACTAATGCAATGCTGAAGGACAGTTATAAGATGAATAAAACCTAGTTATGTACTAGTAAACTCTGTTTCATTACATTTCCTTCTGTTAGTCAGGGGCTAAACAAGATCCGTCTAATAATGTGGACTGCTTTTATTTATTTCTAATTGTTCTTTCAACTCACCTTGAAAATTTTGTGTTACGTTAACAGCTGCCGCATACTTCATATCTAATTTTGTGGAACATCTTAAGTCTGTGTACTTATATGCATGATTATAGAAAACAAATTATATATTGTTTTTAGTTTCTGTTGTAAATTGTGATAGATGGTTCGCTTCAGGGGTCGTTTGATTTTATATAAGTGTACTATAAAAAACATCATTTTCCGTTTTCTCTGAATAAATAACTGTTAACTACTCAATTTGTTAAGTATTTACACCAGAATAAGTTGTACTGAGACCACGTTAATATTTCCTGTGACGGCAGTGCCACTGGTGAATAGTAAAACCCCTAAAAATTAATCAATTAACGTTATTGTTGGATAAGATACAGTGTTGTGCCCAGCGCCATCTGAAGGTGGAGGAAGGAATGGTGAGTGAAGGCGCAGGCGTGAGAGAAGCTTCCAGCCAGTTACTGACGACGTTTTGGCGTTATCATATTTATTTGTGTTTCGTCTCGTCCGGTCATCAAGAATCTTCTGTTTACATAGAATAGTAACTTCGGTTCTTTCATTCAAACTGTTGTTCCTTCATGTCATATGGCCAGAATAAGTGAATATGGTAGTTAGTTCTGAAATGTTGATATATGTGAAATGTGAATCTTACAGAGTTTGTTTTGTGTTGGACAGGTGAGGAGGCTTCAGGAATTCGAACACTGAGTTCCATATCAACATTTGAACATGCCAAAGGGCAGTTCTTGCAAGGCCAGGGGCTGCACCTCCAACAAGACTGACAACCCTGAACTGAGTTTCCATTCCTTCCCCAAAAACAAAGAAAGGTATTACCATCTAGTTAAGAGTTGGCATTTGATCCACCATCAATATTTTCCTGCTACCTAACAGAGCAAACGATAGTGTTAATAGACGCTAACGTAACCCAACCAGTAGTAATGAAGCTCACAAGAATGAGCTACAGTTTAAGGTCAATTTATGATAGTAACCAGGTTTTAATTTTTCCATAAAAAATAGTTTTCCTAAGATTCTTGTTGTGATTAGAACGAATCTGACCTTCTGGTGCTTACCATCTGTTATCGAGTTAAGCCCCCCATCCCCAATGACAGAGATGAGGGAAGGACCTAACCTAACCATAAAACCCATGTAAAACCTGACCTCGGACCCCCCCCCTTAGTGTTCTTACCTTAAGGCTAGCGCCGACGTCAGAATGTGACGCAGCTGGCTAACAGAGCTTTTCAAGGGGATGTGGTTTTTTAACTCGCTATATCTCCGTTATTTCTCATCAGCACAGTAAGTGTCATAGAAGAAATTCATCTTATTTTTGCTAGGTAATATGGTTGCAAACTACAAAATAACGGAATTCGAAACCTGGCTACTATCCTAAATTGACTGATTTTAATTTTTTGGGGGCAAAAATTTTGGTAGTATGCTGTTAATGGATGGAAACTACTGACTAAAATATCTGACCTAACCGGTAAAATTATCGTTTCAGTCATCCAACGACTTTCAGGATTCTAAGTTTTGGATTCCGTAGTTTAGACAATTCTAACGGTCCGACTAATTACCCAAATGTAGCAAAATGTAACCGCAATGAAGTCAAATAATGGTCCTACATGAATAAATCGGACTGCTAATCACTTCTCGACTAGTATTTGGTGTCATAAAGTCACAAAAAATTGGTAAACTTAATTTAATCTGAGTTGGGTTAGGTTAGGTTAGGTACATGCACTCGATCTATTAACTCAGATTAAATTAAGTTTACCAATTTTTTGTGACTTCATGACACCAAATGCCAGTCGAGAAGTGATTGGCAGTCCGAGTTATTCATGTAGGACCATTATTTGACTTCATTGCGGCTACATTTGGGGAATTAGTCGGACCCACTTCTAAGACTCTTCTATAGCATTTCTTCCGCTCATGATTACATTCAGAGAAAATAAAAAAAAGTTTTGGGAGGGAAAATCATCGTATTTTTTCTAAATTGTTGGAAGTTGAAATTATGTTTTTCTGATGGCTTTTGGTGTCTTTTGAATGACTGACCTTTATTTCTACAACTAATCACTATTTTTAGAGATGCCTCGTCCCCTTATCCAAGGATAATGGGGGACCCCAGTGGGAACCAGGGGTTTTGGGTGGGGGGAAAAGCATAAAAAAGTACTAATTTGCAATGGAAATGAAGGTCAGAATAATCCAAAACCTAACCTAACCTAACATAACAGTATTTACCAATTACACTTTCCAAAATAGAAGAGCTCCCACCAATCACATTTCAGGATGCAATCATTCTGCCAAGTTCTAAAATAGATTTGCTAGGTCTCACCATTTCCTCTTATATGCCATGGAAGCCACACTTCCACAACAATGCTAACGCTGCCTCCCAAAAGCCGGGAATGCTGTACAGATGCCATAGTTACTTCACTCCTTAGCAGTTGCTCCAAGTATATAAGGGATTCATTCGTCCTAAATTGGAGTGCTTGTCTCATATCTGGGGTGGCTCTTCTTCTGTCCAACTGTTAGATAGGGTGGAATCAAAGGCATTTCGTCTTATTAATTTTCCTTCTTTAGTCAACAATCTCTCTTCCCTTTCTCTTCACCACAATGTTGCTTCACTCTCTCTTTTACAGGTACTTTAACGGGCAATGTTCGGTGGATTTGGCATCCTGTGTACCGCCGGCAAGGCCGTGGGCTCTTAACACTCGTCTGGCCCACGGTGCCCACTGTTTTTGTGTGGATGTCGGTCACACTAGAATAACCCGTTGTAGTACATCCTTCATTCCTCACACAGCCAAACTGTGGAATGCTCTGCCTTCTTCTGTGTTTTTATACTCATACAATCTGTCTTACTTCAAAAAGTTGATTTTCCGGCATCTTCGTTGTGTAGATTAATATGGTCTCTTTCTTTTCTACTTTTAATTTCTTTTTACCCCTATTTTTTCTTCCTCCAGGCCCTGTTGTGGGTTGATGACCTGTTCCCGGGTGGGCAATTCCCCGTAAAAAAACAAAACCCTAACCTAACCCTAAACCTAACCTATCCACCTGTGTGCTTACCTTAATTAGACTTAGAAGACCCGGAATTGGGGTCATCGGGGTCCTCCTCGTCATCCACAGGTCGCACTGGCCCCCGTTTCTCCGACTGCGGGGGTAGACCTTGCTGGCAGTGATGATGAACTGATGTAGAAGCTTGTTCTCGCTGAACTGCGTAATAAACATGTAGCACGCCAAGTACTGCTTGAAGGAGGTGGACTTGTTGCCAGGTCACTTCAACCACTCCTTGAGATCCCTCCACAGACATCTTGGAACTAAATTCAAATTCAAGGGGATAGTGGCCAGGGGCCTATACTGTACCGAGCTGTGATTGGTTAATCCAAAGTCATACTCACCGATCAATGTCCAAAGAACAACTGAGCATGTATCAGACTCTAGCGCATGCAGAATACAGCATATTAACCAACAAATGAGCACACAGGAGCTCTCTCATACTGTGTTAATATAAACAAGAACTTAGAAAAAACAATGATTTTCCAACACTTTATTGAGATTTTCTCTGAAAGTAATCATGAGTGGAAGAAATGCTATAAAAGAAAAGTGTCTTAGAATTATTTAAAGTACTGATTCCAAAACTTATTTCCCTAAAACTTGCTGGATGACCGAAACAATAATAATGCCACTTAACATAGGTAAAATGTTAGTTTCGGTCATCCGTATGTTTATCCAACAGTTTTGACGTACTTAAAATGATTTTGATCTAATCTAACCTAACCTAAACAACCTAACCTAGCCAAAGAACCCAGGAACTATATCCAACCTAACCTAAATTCCTAAGATTCCCGGGATGACCGAAACTGAAATAATACCCTAACCTAACCTTGCTATAGAGTGAATTATTATTATTTTTTTTTGCTCTATCCTCCTGTATAAAAATCAATATAAAGTTCCATTCATGTCCAGTACCGTATTGTCACCTTTTAGGATTGGAAGTAGCAACTTGGCTGGGAATTCTCTGATAGGCAGACTGTAATTTATGTAGTCAGGATGTTAAATTAGGTTGAATAACTCCTTATCCTGATACATGAGAGTCTTTTGGTTTGGTTAGGCTTGGTAAATATTGATTCCTCCATTGTTTTGGGTGTTCTTGAGAAAAGGAAATTTTCTTTTATTGAAAAGTTCCTCATTAACTCGCACACTTCTTGTACAGTATTACTTGGTAGCTTTTTTTTCTTCAAATTTTTCGATATAGCTGTAGTAGGTTAGGTGACAGTGGCGTGTCATGAAAAAATTGCTGGGATAAGCAAATGACACTGTTAATGACATTACTGTATAGGTAAATTTTCATTTTCATCCAATATGGCTTGAGTTGAGAAATGTATTTTCCTGGTGGTTTTGATGTGTTTTATTTGATTTTGATATTTATTTTTGTTAGAAATCACTCGCTTTTGAGATAGCCCCACCCACTACTAAAAGAGTGAGTTACAACAAAAATCAATATAAAAATTGAAAAAAAACATCAAAAACAATCATAAAACACATTATTCAATACAAAACCAACCTTACCTAACCAAGAATGGATACCTTGGTAGGGTATTGTTGCATTTTCAATCAGTATGCAGCTGAAGGTTTTTGACTTAAAAACTGAATAGATCTTGTTGCCATTGAATAATAGTGACACATTGTTCAACTCGAGAGCCATATTGGTTGAAGCTGCAATAATATCACATTATACTACTATCAAGTACTAGCAGTTTAGTACTGTAGTCTACAAAACTGAAACAGAACAAAAAGTTTAAATAATTTAGTTATTTTTTGTTTGTCTTTAACCTTCATTTGTGACACTAATAAGGTATTTTGATATGGTTTTTGTTAGACAATTAGCAACCCTCAGGGGAGAGACAGCTGTTCTTTCATTGCCCAAATCTCTAGCAAAAGGAATTCTACTCATTGATGACAACAAATATTGTTGATGGGAAATTCCTGCATCACAATGTTTTTCACAGCATATTAGATTGACCTAAATCCTATTTACATGGTATTTGGGAAAATGTGGGTTAATATAATTTAAATTAAAAGTTTTCATCTTACATCTGGCAGTGGCATATCATTTTACCCCACACAAGGGTGGAAGAGGGTATTGCAAATAGAATGTTGTGTATTCGAGGGACAGATTTTCAAGTGGTAAATGCTCCTGTCTTGCAAGTTTCAGAAGTCTGGACTCCTATTACAGCAGGTTTAAATTCATTGAGACTTAAATAACAAAAAATCAGGATTCTATACTGTATATACAATTAACTGATAAAGTACATAAATTAAACAAAGGGATATTTTAATTTTTAAAGGTAGAAGTTTTATAACGTAAGCAATGCTTCATAGGAATACACATCACAGTTAAGCTAACACCAACACGGGCTGACACCAACTATATCTGTACAGTACTCGTGTAAACTTAAGGAACCAAAGCCTATAGATTTCTATATTGTGATACTTAATTTATCTGACCTAACTTAACATCCCAGTTACGTATCCTCCAGTTTGCCCTGTCGAGAATTTCCCACCAATCGCATTTCAGGCCTTAGTCATTCTAAAATACAGTAAGTCCTTGCTTAATGTCGGGGTTATGTTCCTCAAAACGCGATGTTATACGAAACAAACTTAAGCGAATCAATTTTCTCCATAAGAAATAAATAGAATACAGGAGTTGCGTTCCTGAGCCTCCCTTTGCCCTTTGAAATACATTACATATACAGAAAATCATTGCTACAGTAGAAGTCCAAAAATCCGGACTGCTTGGGGATTGGGTAGGTCCGGATTTTCGGATTTTCCGGATTCTCAG